TACTGTCTCACTGAGACGGCGTCATTACCTCCCTAGGGATGGGAACTGCGCTTCATCTCTGCCCGGACTCCCGGCGGCTTCCCCTGGGTCCCTCCTCCCTTGTTCTGTCTTGCACCATGTCCTGCCTGGTAGAAACTTCCTCAAACCACAGATGTGCCGCGGCCAGCTGTTCTATTTAACAGTGAGGTCCTAAAAGCCCTCTTAGAGCAGCTGGTGTTGGAGCAGAGGCTGGGGCAGGGACCCCAAGCATCCTCGTCTCCAGGGAGGTTCCCCCAGGAGGCTACAGGCATTGCCTCGGGACACAAAGGACAACTCAGACCCGGGAAGCCTCCTGGACCCTCCATTGCCCACAAGGCTCTGTCCCAGCCCCTTCCTACAGCCCCTCCAGGTGGGTCCCATCTGCATCTCTCTGGCTTCAGGAGGGATCAGGCCCCCACTGCCCTCTCTGGGCCTGGGGGAAGCAACATCCCTTCCCAACCCAAGGCCTCTCAGGGTGGCCTTCTCCGCCTCAGTGAAGAGCCACAGACATTGAGGGCGATCTGGAAGGACCACTGCCCTGTGCCCCGGGGAAGGCTTGTCTTGGGCTCTGGAGGCGGAACCCAGCTGGCGGCTCCAGAGTTGACTGTAGGTCTGTCGTTGGATTTGCCTTTTTCCGTGTGAGTTCTCATCGTAACACGACCCTGCTACCCGTGTGTCCCGCAGGCCGTCCATTCCTCTCCAGTGTCCCTGCACGAGCGTGTCCTGGGTGGTCCCGGAGGCACCTTCTAGGCCCGGCTCCTGGGTGTGGTGGAGGCTGGCTGTCCCAGGCCCATGCGGGGTTGTCCCTGCAAGCACACAGCTCCGGAAGTGCCCCACTCAGGATCCTCCAGCTCTCTTGCCTGAAGCAGAAATGTGACTTGGAAATTGTCCTCTATAGAAGGGAGGGGAAATCCAGGCCTAGGGGTGAGCTGCTTGCTGTGCTTCAGTCCCACTCTCAGTCTCCAGTCGAGGGCACAGGCATTTGATCCCTAACACATCTGTGGGCCGCCGCTGTCCAGCCTCTGCTGCCCACACCGGCAGCTGGGGAGTGGGAACGGGGGCTGGCCGAGGCCTGGGGTACTTCCCCCAGAAGGAGCGATTTCTTCTTTCCTGCAGTTGAGCTGGGGGTCCCTGTCAGGGAGCAGTGGGGTCCTCTCAGCTTCCTGCTCTCTGTCATTCCTGCAGGAGGACACGTGTGGGTGTGTATGCCGCCATTTTCAGCTAAGGGTCAGAGAATGTTTTCGTGGACTCCCGGCATCAGACACGGGATTCTTTTTTTTTTTTTTCTTGCTCTGTCACCAGGCCGGAGTACAGTGGCACAATCTCAGCTCACTGCAACCTCTGTCTCCTGAGTTCAAGCAATTCTCCTGCCTCAGCTTCCCAAGTAGCTGGAACTACAGGCTCCCACCACCACGCCCAGCTAGTTTTTTGTATTTTTAGTAGAGACAGGGTTTCACCATGTTGGCCAGGATGGTCTTGATATCCTGACCCACCCGCCTCGGCCTCCCAAAGTGCTGGGATTACAGGCATGAGCCACCGCGCCTGGCCGGGATGTCTCGATTAGATTTTCAGATGGCTCCAAGGCCCCTCTCTGTTCAGTCCCCAAGGCCAGGACCCTGGCTGTGGAGCTGGGTGTCCCATGCCACCACATCCAGACATCCTCAGAGCACTTTACAGGCCTGCGCAGCTGTGGCTCCAGTGGCCTCTGCTCCCCACTTCCCTCAGCTGCAGGCCTGGTATGGGGCCTTGGCATTGGGGACCTGGTACCAGGCACAGCCCCATGGCCGAGGCCAGCCTGCAGAGGACAGCTGAATGGGACTTATTGAGAGACGGGCTGCTCCAAGGGCTGGAGGAGCCATGTGAACAAACACACGTGGTCCCTCAGCCCAGGTGGCTGGAGAACTTCAGAAACTGTGGTGTCATACCTTTCCCAGCTGGGTGACACCAGGATCTGGCAGCCCAGGCCAGGTTCAGTGCTGGGGCAGGGGGTGGAGAGGCCACCCTCCTCTCTCCCTGTGTTTTGAGCCAGGCTTTGCCAACCTTTATTATTTTCACTTGAAATTCTTCTTTTGGGAATGACAACCTTTCCGGTGGGTTTTACTGCCTGAGGTTTAGAAATAATTTTGGTGTTTTTGAGCCAAGGTCTCAGTCTGTTGCCCAGGCTGGAGTGCAGTGATCATAGCTCACTGCAGCCTCGATCTCCTAGGCTCAAGCCATCTTCCTGCCTCAGCCTCCTGAATAGCCAGAACAATAGGTGTGCACTACCACGCCGGGCTAATTTTAAAAATTTTTAAACATTATTTATTTTTAGAGACAGGATCTTGCTGTGTCACCCAGGCTGGAGTGCAGTGGCACCAGTATAGCTCACTGCAGCCTCAAACTCCTGGGCTCAAGTCATCCTCCTGCCTCAGCCTCCTGAGTAGCTTGGGACTACAGGTGCATGCCACCACACTTGGCTAATTTTTTTAATAGTTTGTAGAGATGGAGTCGTCACTATGTTGCCCAGGCTAGGTTTGAACATCTGGGCTCAAGTGATCCTCCCACCTCAGCCTCCCAAATTGCTGGGCTTACAGGTATGAGCCTTCGAGCCCAGCAGACATGAATTTTCTATGATCTTTTGCAAAATCATTGCTGGGAACAGGAGCGGGTCCCTGCTGCACGTGCTGGGCCATCACCGTTTGTCATGGAGCGGGCGGGGGTTCCCCTTGCTGGTCTTTAGGAAGGATGGAGGAGCCCACCTGCTACCTCATGGGCCTCAGACAAGATTTTCTGAGGTGAGCGGCCGTTCCCCAGCCTGTGGCCGGAGATCAGGGTGTATCTGAGTGACAGCTTGGTCCAGTGGTCCCTAGCAAGGCCTGAATCTCAGTTCTTCCCACTGAGTCCCAGGGGACGTCCAGTGGCTTTGGGTCTGGGGCCGGGTACACAGGTGCGATGCTGGCCATGTCATCTGCAGCTCCCCCAGCCATGAGGCCATCCTGCCTTGACAGGGAGGTGTTCGGTTCCCAGAAGCCTTTGACAAAGCTGATTTTGGGGGCTGTGTGCTGTTATCAGTCAAAACCTTTCTCTCCCCTTCTCGCCTTTTTTTTTTCTTTTTTGAGACAAAGTCTCGCTCTGTCGCCCAGGCTAGAGTGCAATGGCATGATCTCAGCTCACTGCAACCTCCACCTCCCACGTTCAAGTGATTCTCCTGCTTCAGCCTCCTGAGTAGCTGGGACTACAGACATGAGCCACCATGCCTGGCTAATTTTTGTCTTTTTAGTAGAGACGGAATTTCACCATGTTGGCCAGGATGGTCTCGATCTGTTGACCTCATGATCCACCTGCCTCGGCCTCCCAAAGTGCTGGGATTATAGGCATGAGCCACCGCGCCCGGCCTCACCTGACTTTTAATCTTGAGTTTTGTATTTTGGGTTCAGAATTAAATTCAGAAAAAAAATTTCCCTTTGACTGTTTCCTACCTCAATCAAGCCATTTGTGGGTGTGTTCATTTAAGTTTCGACACATGCAGAACTTAACCTGTGTGTGCTGTATTTGAGGAGTCTGTTGGATAAAAGAGCAGGAATTCCAGATCAGAGTCCTTAACGTTCTGTGTGACTGACGCTGAGTCATCCCTGAAAAAGCCCCAGACCTGAACTGATCATTGATGTCAGTTGCCAGGTTTTTCTCAGCCATAGGGCTTTTTTCATTCATCCTCCTGCTCCATCCAAGAAATGTTTCTCAAGCCCCCTTCAGTGCAGGCGGGGCCCCTACCTAGTAAGAGAGACAAATTGCAAACTCGCATCACCGTCCTGGGCCTGGGGGCTGCCCTAGGAGCGGGGGCAGGAGGGCAGCATGGAGGAGGTGGCCTCGGAGCCTAAGTTTGGAGATCTGAGAGAGTCTTGTGCGTGGACGGTTGGGGAAGTACGTTCCAGGCAGAGGAAGCAGCAGCAAGGTGGGAGGAGGAGAGTGGACCTTCTGGAGGGTTCTGGGTGGCCTGCTGTGGGGCAGGGCAGCAGGGAGCATCCTGCTCACTATGGGGGCTCTAAGTCGGTTGAGGCGGGGATGTCAGCATCACAGGTGGGCAGAGCCTTTCCTGGGACAGGGCCAGGTGGGTGCCCATGTGCTCAGAACAGTGGGAGCTCTTTCTCTCGGAGAGTTCTGCACCCATTCTTCATGTCCTCATTGACTTTCTCTGAATACCTGTAATAGAAATAATTTTCAGAAGCAAAACATCGCCATGGTTTGCTCACCAAATTGTGCCTGAGCGAGTTAGGGAATCAGGCCAGGGCGCACTCCTCAGCCACCAGACGCAGCCTCCGTCCACGGCCCTGGCCCCACCTGCAGCCAGGGGTGTCGGTTACTCCCGACAGTCAGTGATTGCTCCAGCCTGGGAGGGAGAGGGGACGAGGGCTGGGGTGTCTCAGTGGCTCGGGGGAAACCACAGGGGCCAGCTCTTCCTGAGAGCAGTGCCTCCAGGAGAGCCATCTGCCACAGGGCCCTCATCCTGCAGGGTGATGGCACCTCCAGGGCCCCTTTCTAGCATCTGCCTCTGACCCCAATGGGTTGTCCCGGGCCCAAGCCTTTTCCCATGGCGCCACCTTGTGGACACCTGCACACAGGCGATTAGCCTGCACAGACGACCTGCCCCAGGTGCACGTCCTGTAGCTGCGTGAGGGCAGCTGAGGAGGGGCCTCCACGGAGCTTCCTGACCAGGTCCTGCCTTGGGCCCTGCACAATGCTAGGAGGGGGGCCCATGGCACTCTCAGCCCCTGAGCAGAAGTCACCGCTGGGAGGAAACATGTCTGCCATTTCCAGCATCTTGTCCCTGACGCTGTGTGACCTTGGACTTTTCTGAGGGCGGGGCAGTGTGAGGGCACTTATGATTGGAAAGTGCAGGTTTCTCCCCCACAGCCCCACCCTCCCGGTAGGTCCTGAAAGTCCTGTGCCCCTCAGGGACCCCCTTTTCAGAGCCATGAGCTTACAGTGTCCTTCTCTCTTCTCAGTGTCCCCAACTCCTGCCCAGCTAGCCCACGAGGTGCTGGCTCCTCCAGTTACCGCTTTGTGCAGAACGTGACCTCGGACCTGCAGCTGGCAGCAGAGTTTGCAGCGAAGGCTGCATCGGAGCAGCAGGCAGACACGTCTGGAGGAGACAGCCCCAAGGTCAGAGCCCCCCCGGCGCCATGATGCACATGGTGACCAGGATTGGGCTGTAGTGACGCGGCACAGGTGGCAGTGTGCTCGAGGCAGTCTTGACCCACGAGGAATGCAGCCGAAGTTGGTGGTAGAGCCATTGGCCCTTTCTCCTTTTCGTGCCCAAATTGTCCTTGTTGGCCATTTGCTGGTGACGGGTGGCACTGACACCAGGGCCCCTCCCGCTCCGCTCCTTGTTCATCTGCCACTGCAGCCCAGCGTCAGAGCCTTCACACAGCCCTTGAGAAGGATGGCGCCCTTCTCCTTATAACTCTGTCTTAGTTCATTTCTGTCCAACAGCTGTTTTAAGATCCATTTGTGGAAGAGGTGAGAAATTTCAGAATTAAATTATGATAAAAACAGAAGTTTTCCTTCCCACAAGGCAAAAACGGCTGTTCCTAGTTTAATGTGAGCCCCTTAATGGGATCGTTGGAGGGCACTGGGATTGTCGAGATGAGTATGTCCTCGGGGGAAGGTTCCTCTCTGTCAGCAGTGGCGGGCGGGTGGTGTGGACCTGGGGACCTTGCTGGAGCTCACCTGTGAGCCGCATCTCTCCGCAGGATGAGTCCAAGCCACCGTTCTCCTACGCGCAGCTGATCGTGCAGGCCATCTCCTCTGCCCAGGACCGGCAGCTGACCCTGAGCGGCATCTACGCCCACATCACCAAGCATTACCCCTACTACCGAACAGCCGACAAAGGCTGGCAGGTGAGGCAGGCCCTGGGCCCGGAGCGCCTCCAAACTCCCCTAGAACACAAAACTAACAGGCACGTCGCTTCCCTGAAAATAGACAGAAAAGAGGGCAGTAAGGGGACTCCTGCCTGGAACCCCAGCACTTTGAGAGGCCGACACAGGAGGAGGATCAAGACCAGCCTGGCAACATAGCGAGAACCTCTTTTCTACTCAAGATTAGCTGGATGTGCTGGTGCACGCCTGTGGTCCCAGCTACTCAGAGGCTGAGGTGGGAGGATCACTTGAGCCCGGGAGGTGGAGGCTGCAGTGAGCTGTGATCGCTCCGCTGCACTCCAGCCTGGGAGACAGAACAAGACCCTATATCTAAAAAGAAAAAAAAAATTAAGTAATAAAAGAGGGATATTTTCCCAGACTGAGAAGATGGGGACATACCTTGTTAGATTTTGTGCTTGCTGTGCCTTACAGTCCCATACTAAGTTGGAAATGCACCATATACTGTTAATAAAGCGGCCCACATGTCTGAATTGTGGATGGGATTATAAGAGCTTCGTTCACACCAGCCATGACTGACACATGTTGCATTTGCCTGTATTTTCTCCAAAGTCAGTATAGCCCATCCACTAGTTTTGGTTTTTTTGTTTTTTAATTTTTGTTTTGTTTTGTTTTTTGACAGGATCTCGTTCTGTTGCCTGGCTGAAGAGCAGTGATGCCATCTCTGCTCACTGTAACCTTCCCCTCCCAGGTTCAGGCCATCCTCCTGCCTCAGCCTCCTGAGTAGCTAGGATTACAGGTGCCCACCACCATGCCCAGCTATTTTTTGCACTTTATTTAATAGAGATGGGGTTTCGCCATGTTGGCCAGGCTGGTCTTGAACTCCTAACCTCCGGCGATCCACCTGCCTCAGCCTCTCAAAGTGCTGGGATTACAGGCCTGAGCCATCTTGCCCAGTCAAGACCCAGTGTTTTGTTTTGTTTTTGTCCCAGACGTGCTCCTAGACCAGGATCAATCTTTTTCACTTTTTCTGTAAAGAATGGTAATGACAGCCAGGCACAGTAGCTCACGCCTATAATTCCAGCACTTTGGGAGGCCAAGGTGGGAGGATGGCTTAAGCCCAAAAGTATGAGACCCCATCTCAACTAAAAATACAAAAAAATCAACCAGACATAGTGGCCCATACCCGTAGTCCCAACTACTCAAAAGGCTGAGGCAGGAGAATCCCTTGAACCCAGGAGGTGGAGTTTGCAGTGAGCCAAGATCATGACACTGCACTCCAGCCTGGGCAACAGAGCGAGACTCCTTCTTAAAAAAGCAGAATGGGCCGGGCGCGGTGGCTCAAGCCTGTAATCCCAGCACTTTGGGAGGCCGAGGCGGGTGGATCACGAGGTCAAGAGATCGAGACCATCCTGGTCAACATGGTGAAACCCCGTCTCTACTAAAACTACAAAAAATTAGCTGGGCATGGTGGCACGTGCCTGTAATCCCAGCTACTCAGGAGGCTGAGGCAGGAGAATTGCCTGAACCCAGGAGGCGGAGGTTGTGGTGAGCCGAGATCGCGCCATTGCACTCCAGCCTGGGTAACAAGAGCGAAACCCTGTCTCAAAAAATAAAAAAAAAGCAGACTGTAAAATGGTAATGATGCTGTGTCAGATTCTGATAGGCATGGCCTGCACCCCGCATCTGCTCCCGCACAGCACCAAGGGCTCTGCACAGCGGGATGGCCTCCCTTCACCCTGGTCCCACCTATGTTGCAGATTTGGGGCAGGTGGGACTCGATTTCTGACTTGCTGATGATGGGTGAATGTCTCTGCTTCCCTGCAGAATTCCATCCGACACAACCTCTCTTTGAACCGTTACTTTATTAAAGTCCCGCGTTCCCAGGAGGAGCCTGGGAAGGGGTCTTTTTGGCGTATAGACCCTGCCTCTGAAGCCAAGCTCGTGGAACAGGCATTCCGGAAACGGAGGCAGAGGGGCGTCTCCTGCTTCCGCACCCCCTTCGGGCCTCTGTCCTCAAGGTAAAGCTTTCTGTGTGGCTGTCCTAGAGCTATTAGGAAAGCTGGGCTGGGCTGGAGTTTAGGGATGCGTGGCACAGTCGGCCCTCCCCCCGCATCCGCGGCCTCCATAGCTGCAGGCTCAGTGTCTGGGCATGCAACTGATCACAGGTCAAAAATAGTCCCAAAAAAAGGCTAGTGCAGTAGCTCACACCTGTAATCCCAGCACTCTAGGAGGCCGAGGCTGGGTCACCTGAGGTCAGGAATTGACCAGCCTGGCCAACATGGTGAAACCTCATCTCTACTAAAAAAATACAAAGTTAGCCGGGCATGGTGGTGGGCACCTATAATTCCAGCTACTTGGGAAGCTGAGGCAGGAGAATCGCTTGAACCCAGGAGGCAGAGGTTGCAGTGAGCTGAGATTGCACTGTTGCACTCCAGCCTGGGTGATATGAGCAAAACTTTGACTGAAAAAAAAATTTTTCAAAAAAAAAGTAATACAAATGAAACAATACACATTACAGTAGCCATTTACATAGCATGTACATTGAGTTAGGAATTCTAAGTACCCTGGATATGATTTAAAGCTTACAGGAGAATGTACATAGGTTGTATGCAAATGCGACACCATATATATGAGGAACTTGGTTGAGCGTCTGCAGATTTGTTAGCTGCCATGCCCTCCCCTCAGATACTGAGGGGTGACTGCTCTTTTTGGCACTTAAAGACTCACCATTTTTTTGTTTTGTTTTTGTTTTGAGAGAACATCTCAAGACCAGGAATTCCTAAAATAGTTATGTTACTAAGTAAGCCACTGACTATTCTACTAATAATAACATATTAGTTCTTAGAAGCAGAAATATGGGCTGGTGCAGTGGCTCACACCTGTAACCTCAGCACTTTGGGGTGCCGAGGCGGGCAGATCACCAGGTCAGTTTGAGAGCAGCCTGGCCAACATGGTAAAACCCTGTCTCTACTAAAAGAAAAATTAGCCTCTACTAAAAAAATAGAAAAATTACAGGTATGGTGGCGGATGCCTGTAATCCCAGTCACTCAGGAGCCTGAGGCAAAGAATTGCTTGAACCCGGGATGAGAAGGTTACAGTGAGCTGAGATCGTACCACTGCACTCCAGCCTGGGCAACAGAGCAGGACTCCATCTAAAAAAAAAAGGAAGTGGAAATGTGTGTAGCAGTGGGAAAGTTCCTAAGGCCAGGAGTGAATGGCTTGCAGCTTGCGGTGCTTTTGGTGGCTCCGAGCTATCTGCTGCAGTGAGAGAGGACCCAGGGAGAGCCAATCTTTGAAGGGACAGACTCGGGGTATGACTTGGGGAGCCCACAGCTGCCTTTGCTTTTCACAGATGTTGGGGAACGTGGCTCTGCTGCAGATGGGGGGGGACAGACCCTCTCCCGGCCTGTGCCACCCGCCTGGTGGGTCAGGGCCACCCCTGCCCAGCTCTGTCCTGGCCAAGCCCAGTCTGGAGGAGCTTGGGTGGCTCTTCCCAAGGTTGCCCATCGGATGAGCCCATGCTAGTGTGGGGGACGAGATCTCCCAAGAGGCCCTCTCGGAAATCCTTCCCTGTGGAAGGACACATTAGCATCTCATGCTTCCCATTTCCAAATTCTACTTCCAACACGATTCCATGAAAGATTGAAATATCTGGCCGGGTGCGGTGGCTCACGCCTGTAATCCCAGCACTTTGGGAGGCCGAGGCAGGCAGATCACCTGTGGTAGGGAGTTTGAGACCAGCCTGGCCAACATGGAGAAACCTCTTCTCTACTAAAAATAGAAAAATTAGCCAGGCATGGTGGCGAATGCCTATAATCCCAGCTACTCGGGAGGCTGAGGCACAAGAATCACTTGAGCTCGGGAGGTGGAGGTTTCAGTGAGCTGAGATCACGCCACTGCACTCCAGCCTGGGTGACAAGAGTGAAACTCCGTGAAAGGAAATAAGGGAGGAAGGGAGGGAAGAAAAGAAGGGAAGGGAAAGGAGGGAAGGAAGGAGGGAAGAAAGGAGGGAAGGAGGAAGAAAGGAAGGAAGGGATTGAAATATCTGAAAATTAATTTCGGGCATAGGGTGTGGCAGGGTGGTTCTCAGGTGAACTGGGCCTATGGTTAAGGTAGGAATTCAAAAAAGCGTTTGAACATCATTTGGAAGATTTCAACAGAGCCCTGCTTTTCCAGAACACAGCATCGCCTAAAGAATGTGGAGAGAAGGCTGGGCACGGTGGCTCAAGCCTGTAATCCCAGCACTTTGGGAGGCCGAGGCGGGTGGATCACGAGGTCAAGAGATCGAGACCATCCTGGTCAACATGGTGAAACCCCGTCTCTACTAAAAATACAAAAAATTAGCTGGGCATGGTGGTGCATGCCTGTAATCCCAGCTACTCAGGAGGCTGAGGCAGGAGAATTGCCTGAACCCAGGAGGCGGAGGTTGCGGTGAGCTGAGATCGCGCCATTGCACTCCAGCCTGGGTAACATGAGTGAAACTCCGTCTCAAAAAAAAAAAAGAATGTGGAGAGAAATTTTGTTGCACCATTAGGTTACTAGGGCTGTTGAAACAAGCACCTGCACACTGGGCGGCTTACACAAATGATGACTGTCTCAGTCCTGGAGGGAGGCTGGAAGTCCAAGGTCAAGATGTCAGGAGGGCTGGGTCCCTCTGAGGCTGCAGGGAGTCTCCCCAGGCCTCCACCATGGCTGCCCACGGTCTCTGGTGCTCCTCGGCCTGTGGGCACATCACCCCGACCTCTGCTTCATCTTCAAGTGGCGCTGTGATCTGTGTGTGTCTGGGTGCAAACTTCCCCTTCGTATGAGGACACCAGTCATCGGATTCGGGTCCACTTGAATGACTGTGGCATTTTGACTTGATCACCTCTGTTAGACCCTGTCTCCAAATAAGGTCACATCCTGCAGTACTGGGGGTTAGGACTCAGTGTGTCTTCTCTGTGGGACAGGCAAACCCCTGACAGTTGCCAGTGTCATTTTTCACCTGTAGGGCAGTCTGTCAGCCAGGGGAAGTGGCTGGGACTCGCTTTGTGTGTCCAGCGCTGTCCGGGGAGCTGTGTGTGAGGAGGACTTGCAGGGAGGGTAGGGTCCCATCTTTAAGGTCACCCTTGGAGTTGTGGAAGCAGATGTGCTGATAGAATCTGCTTGGGTGATGGGAGGAAGGAGGCCCCTCCAGGCCAGGAGAATGGCACAGCCAGAGCTGGGTCTTCTGTAGAGGGAGGAGGCTGGCTTGACTTGCAGAGGCTGGATGGGTTTAAAGGGAGGCAGGTCATAGGGAAGGGGGTGATTGGGTAGAGGAAGGGGAGATTAGAGAGGGCCGTGATCGGTGTTTGGCCTCTTTGGTAAGAATGAGAGCCATGGCAGACTGGAGAACTGGGGAGCCGCCTTGGCCACACGGGTCTGGGACTGAATCAGCTAAGCACTGGAATCAGCAGGCAAGGCCTCCAGGCCCAGGATGAAGAGCAGACGGGGAGCCAAGTGGTCTGGAAGAGACCGCAGGGCAGCAGGGAGGGGAGTGACGGTGGGGGAGCACCCAGGCCTCTGCCCGAGGAGCCCAGGAAGGGCCCAGCACAGCCACCAGCAGTAGACACAGCATACACAAAGTGACCAAGGGTATTTGTAACACAGTGAAGACTCTGGCTGGACACAGTGGCTCATGCCTATAATCCCAGCACTTTGGGAAGCTGAAGCAGAAGGATCACTTTGAGGCCAGGAGTTCAAGACCAGCCTGGGCAACCTAGCAAGATGCCTGTCTCTACCAAAAAAAAAAAAAAAAAAAAAAAAGTTTCAAAAAAGACTGGTTCCTTACCCCCAGGCGCCTCTGGTGGGTTCCAGCTTCCTGCCTCTCTGGGTCTCTGCTGAAACCTCCTGCTTTGTGTGCGCAGCGGCGTGGGTGGGCTGTTGTCCTGCTGCACATGTGTGCTGGGTGGTTCCAGAGAAGAAAGCTGACTGCTTCCAGGCCTGGGTCTCAGCTGCGTCGCCGTCGCCCACACCAGCCCCTCGCGGGTGGCACCTGCCAGGAACGCTGTATTGTAGAACCCAGGTCTCTATCGTAGAACCCGGGTCTCTATTGTAGAACCCAGGTTGGTGGTGATGGGGAGTGGGCAGGGGGGCAGGATGGGGAGCAGGCGGTGATTTCGGGGGGCGGGGTGAGCGTGCGCGGACTGTTGGTTGTCGAGGAAACAGTTGTGCTTCCAAAGCTCATTTTACTCTCAGGTTAGCATTTTCATGGTGGAACGCATGTGCCTACCAAACAGAAGCTGATGTGTTTTGATACAGAAGGTCTGAGCCATTTTCATAGACAACTGGCTGGCCGTGGTGGAAGTGAACACTAATGGAGCCCCGTGCAGCCCCCCTCAAATGGAGTTTTAAACGCTGGGTTCAGGTTACAGGAAGTGGATCTCACTGCCTGAATGGTGGACGGAGATGAGCTCCAGAGGGCGTGGGTGGAGGACGGGGTGACACTGACGACACTGAGCTGCGTAATGTCTCGGAAACGTCCTCCCATCCCTTAGCACGGGCGGGCGCTGACTGCCAAGGTCCTTCCCTCTTCTCCAGGAGCGCTCCAGCTTCACCCACACACCCCGGGCTGATGTCCCCTCGCTCCAGCGGCCTGCAGACCCCAGAGTGCCTGTCTCGGGAGGGCTCCCCCATTCCACATGACCCTGACTTCGGGTCCAAGTTAGCTTCTGTCCCAGAGTACCGGTATTCCCAAAGCGCACCTGGTAAGGAGCGGGCGGCCCTCTTGCGGGGTGGGACGGGACTCTCAGGGCACAGGAGGGGTCACTGTCCACTCCGCACCCTCCGTGCAGGCTCCCCCGTCAGCGCCCAGCCAGTGATCATGGCCGTGCCACCCCGACCATCCAGCCTCGTGGCCAAGCCCGTGGCCTACATGCCCGCCTCCATCGTGACCTCCCAGCAGCCCGCGGGCCATGCCATCCACGTCGTGCAGCAGGCCCCCACCGTCACCATGGTCAGGGTGGTCACCACGTCTGCCAGTTCGGCCAACGGATACATCCTCACCAGCCAGGGCTCGGCAGGGAGCTCCCACGATGCAGCGGGCGCAGCTGTGCTGGACCTGGGCAGCGAGGCCAGAGGTAATGCGGCCGTGGCCGGCAGCCTTCACAGGACTCTCCGTGGTGGTCCCAGCCAGCAGGTCCTGAAGGCAGTGCCATCGGCATGGGCCTGGGGCTTGAGGAGGATGATTCTCCGCCTCTGCCTCTCGCTGCCATGTCCTTTTAAATCAGCATGAGCCAGGTGCGGTGGCTTACACCTGTAATCCCAGCACTTTGAGAGGCCAAAGCAGGTGGCTCACTTGAGGTCAGAAGTTCAAGATCAGCCTGGCCAACACAGTGAAACCCTGCTCTAATAAAAATACAAAAATTAGCTGGGCATGGTGGTGCGCTCCTGTAGTCCCAGCTGCTTGGGAGGCAGAGGCAGGAGAATCGCTTAAACCCTGGAGGCAGAGGTTGCAGTGAGCGAGATTGCGCCACTGCACTCCAGCCTGGGTGACAGAGCCAGACCCTATCTCACACACCAAAAAAAAGCATGACTGTCCACAGATGCATCCTTCCTTGTTGAATATGCCCTCGGATGCATGCAGCTGTGTCCTTGCCTTAAGGTAACATTGAATTAAGTTGTGCTGTGGCCTTGCATAAATTTGGAATTTAGTATTTTCTATGGGAGAAAGAATGAGCCTGGGAAGACTGTTCTTTTCTACTCCCTCATAAGGAGACTTTAAAAGTCATTTAGGGAAAAGATAGTTCTGAACTGCTAAAAGGAATCTGATCCCAGGGATTGACGGGTAGATACTGAACATGCAGCTGACCCCCACCCCACATAAGACCGTCTCTGGAACGCCTTCAGATGGGCAGCATCCTCTGACTTCACTCACCTCCCTTGACTTCATCTCGGTGGTGGTTTTTGTTTCAGTACTGCCATAATACTGAAGGAAGACCAAGGTACAGCTCTAATCAGATCATTTCATTCCCAGTAATACATTTGCTTTCTCAGACTGAATTTGGGTTGATTAAAGCTAAGTCTAGGCTGGGCGTGGTGGCTTATGCCTGTCATCCCAGCACTTTGGGAGGCCAAGGCAGGCAGATCACAAGGTCAGGAGTTCGAGACCAGCCTGGCCAACATGGTGAAACCCTGTCTCTACTAAAAATAAAAAAATTAGCCAGGTGTGGTGGTGCGCGCCTGTGATCCCAGCTACTCGGGAGGCTGAGGCAGGAGATTCGCTTGAACCCCGGAAGTGGCGTTACAATGAGCCAAGACTGTGCCATTGCACTCCAGTTGGGTGACAAGAGCGGCAAAACCCTGTCTCAAAAAAATAAGTAAATAAGTAAAATATTACTTTAAAACCCTAGCAGTTGTTTTCTTCCCAAACCTATTTCACCCATGAGATTTTCCTCTGGCGAACCCATTTTTCCCACTGCCGACCTCACTCCCCCTCTTGGCCAACCTGCTGCCCAGGCATCGAGGAAATCAATTGTCCTGTTAGCTGAGTGTGATGCTAACTTGGTTCCTGTCCTGCAGGCCTAGAGGAGAAACCCACCATTGCGTTTGCCACAATCCCGGCAGCCAGCGGAGTCATCCAGACAGTGGCCAGCCAGATGGCCCCGGGGGTCCCCGGACACACAGTCACCATCCTGCAGCCTGCCACACCCGTGACCCTCGGCCAGCACCACCTTCCAGTCCGGGCCGTCACTCAGAATGGAAAGCATGCAGTTCCCACAAACAGCTTAGCCGGCAACGCTTACGGTGAGGCCCCGCCCCGTTCTCTGCGCCACCTCCCAAGCTCTGTGGCTCCTGGTAGTCAGTGCAGCATGAGAACGTTTCTCCAGTATTGCCCGATCCTCCTCACAGTTCAGTTTATTGAGTACCTGCTGTACTCCAGGCACTGGGACAGCACTAAGAAAAGAGGGTGGAAGGGGCCAGGCTCTGTGGCTCACACTTTTCAGCCCAGCACTTTGGGAGCCTGCGGCAGGCAGATCGCTTGAGTCCAGTTCAAGACCAGCCTAGGCAATATAGCAAAACCCCTTCTCTACATAAGACTCCAAAACTTGGCCAGGTGTGGTGTCGCACACTTGTGGTCCCAGCTGCTCAGGAGAATGAGGCTGTAGTGAGCTATAATTTTTCCACTACATGCCAGCCTGGGTGATAGAGTGATACTCTATGCCTTTTTAAAAAAAAAAAAAAAAAAAGGAAAGAAGGTGGAGGGAAAGCCCAGATCTGCCCATTGTCTGGAGTTCACACTCCATGGGGTGAGGCAGGAGGTCAGAAAAGGAAGGAGGAGAGCTGGGGTGCAGGAACCCAGGGGCACCAGGGCACCAGGTGGGGTGCAGGAAGCCAGGGTGCTGGGTGGGGTGTCAGTGGGATAGCTCAGGGCGATGCATCTGTGTAAAGGAGTGGGGCAACCCATTGATGTCCCCCAGGATCCAGACACAGCAATGAGAGGGACTTCCACCTAGCAGGCTGGGGCCAGCAAGGACATGACAGACCTGGTGGGGAGGGGACAGCAGGGTGCACTCAGCTCCTCTGCTCGGTGGCTTAGCCCCTGTGTGGGTGACTTGGGCCTCTATTCGGAAAAAAACAGCTTGGTTCCAACCAGACCCTAGAGTTACCCTCTTCTTCCTCCACTCCAGCCCTCACCAGCCCTCTGCAGCTCCTTGCAGCCCAAGCGAGTTCGTCCTCACCGGTGGTGGTCACTCGGGTATGCGAGGTGGGGGCCAAGGAGTCAGCAGCAGCCGTCCCCGCCACGGCCACCACCACCCCAGCCACTGCCACCACCGCCTCTGCCTCCGCCTCCTCCACTGGAGAGCCTGAGGTCAAAAGGTCTCGGGTGGAGGAGCCCAGTGGGACCGCGACCACACCGGCCGGAGTGATCGCAGCTGCCGGCCCCCAGGGGCCAGGCACGGGGGAATGAGGTCACCTGCACGCAGGGGAGTGGGACTCACCCAGCGGAGACCCTGGAGCTGGACCCAGCAGCACAGGCGGCCGCACCCACGGACGGAGGACAGCCCACAGCAGCCTGCGGGCATCGGCGGCACCTGGACATACCCAGCCCTTTCCATGTTATCGCCTGTCCTCCCGTGGTTTAAAACAAAAACATAAACAAGTTCAGACAACTGATTGTATGATTCTGGGAATTATTTGCTTTCATGTCCTTTGCCTCTCCCCAGGCCTCCCTGTCAGGCGTGGGGAGGAGGCTGTAGTTCAGCATCTCGAGGAATGTGTCAAGATAGCTCTGCCCGCTCCATGCTACATGGCCAGCTGCCTTTGTCCTGGGAGGACGGACAGAAACGCAGCAAGGCACACCCTGAGGCCATAGGGGAAGCCCAGGCACTGGACAGAGGCCTATTGGGGAAGCCAGGAGCTGCTGCCACACCACGGACTGTCTAATAGCCTCTCTGCCCGGAACGTGACATAGAGAGTGTTGGCATTAACTCGGGGAGTGTCCGGTTTCACTTCGGACCTCAAGTTTTTCTTTGTTTAAACATGGAATTCAGACTTCATTGTACACCTGAGGCAGACACAAAAGGGATCATCTATTTTTGAGGATTTCCACTGCTGATGGTCTGATGACTGGCTGCGGTCCGGGGTTCCTGCTGGCATTAACCCTCTCGGAGGGTAAACCTGCTCTGTCTGATAACTTCAAGTAAGAGCCACAGCTTCCCGGATTGGTATTCACTGTGGAAGGTCCACAGAAGAAAGACGGCCCTGGATCCGCCAGCTGCAGGCATCATGCTGCCGGAGACCGTCGGGCCACTGCTCTGCAGGCCAGACCCTCCCGAATCCTCCCGCGGCTCCAATGTCCCAGTGCTGACGGCCACAGTGGACCTGACAGTGCCAAGCGCCATCTGCTCAAGCTGCTTTTTCACTCAGTTACAGTGTCCTTACCACTCCCACCTTCCTCTGCTGTTTTCAATTGGAACTGTTTCTCCTGCCCGAAGCTGCAGAGGCCCTCCCTGGTCCGTCCGTGAGCAGAAGGGAGGCCCCACCCTGGCAGCAGCGGCTCCTGCGCCTCGACGCCCCGGCCCCACCAACTCCACTGGTTTTGTTGACATAGTGAGAACTGGAGGAGGACGGGATGCTGCAGCCAGTAGGGCGGCTCCGGGGTCCCTGAGGAAGGCTGCCCTGCACTTCCATCAAGACGGCCAGGGTCACCTAGAGCCTCGTCACTGAGCAGCATTGAGCCAGAGCTGTCTAACGCTGCACCCAGCTCGGGGAGGGAGGAGAGAGGAGTCCTTCCGTGTGTCTTGAGAGGTGTGAGGTGTCCCCATAAAGGTCAGCCATCAGCTTTGCTGGCCGTTCCAACGCCAGCCCTCCTGTTGGGGACCACAACAAGAAACAGTGGCAGATTCGACACTGAGCTCCAGAAATGCCAGAGGAGCGGTGTTTCTGGGAGTCACCCGTCCTCCTCATCACATCCTCTCACCAGCAAAGCAGCCTCCACCCGGCCCTCAGCAGGAGAGCCACAGAGGAACCCAGGTGCCTGGAAGGCGTCTGAGGGAGGTGGCTGGGCAGGTGTCTCCCTGAAGAAGAAAGGAGAATGCTTTCCAAAGCGATTCAAGGCAGTGCAGGAGGAGCGACGTGCTGTGTCGCGGAGTGGGGGCGCCCGTGGCCCCGTCAGAGTCCCCGACCCTAGGACAAGTGCAGAACTTCTGTGGGCCCTTCCTTCCACCTAGATAGAGAAAACCCCTGTTCTATTTCCTTCCCCTGTTCCATTGTTTTTCTAAGCCCCCCAAACGAGTCGTTTCTATGGCACTAACCTTTCCATGGGAAATAAGCTCTTTGTAGAAGTCCATACCTGTTGCCTTGGGTGAGGTTTCAGAGAAGTAGGGGTGAGGCGAACACAGCCGGGTGTCCCAGGTGCAGTTCCGTCCATGGAGGGTGAGAGATCGCGCTCCGTGCCACATGCGCGGCTCCTGCTGTTGTCTGTGGTCCTTTGCTTTCCGTGCTGCCTGGTGTGTGCGTGCGTGGTGTGAGGGAACGAGGCGTGGTGGTCAGAGATGCTCCCTGACACTGGCGCCTGCGTGGCCTGAGCCAGTACCGTCAGTGGGGGTCTCTGTGATCGCCTGCTCCTGCCCTCTCCCCCATGGTGACCGTGTATCCCCAGGGCTGTGTGGCCACCCTCATGGGGGAGTTCTGTTTGCTTTTGAGCTGCTGCAGGTCGGCCTCTTTCTGCAAGCTGATGTCTGCAGGGAGCGCTGTGTACCACAAGTTGGTCACAAAATGTGAGGTAGCCTCTCACCCTGGTCTGCTCAGGCTGGCTTTGACCCACTTGCTTTCCCAGCTTTTGAGACGAGCATGTTCTTTCTGTTAGTGGTAGGATTCTCACCGATTTTACTGCTTCAATGCCGAGGGCGTGGAAAGGGGCTGGTGGGTGGAGCTGGGGGGTAGTGAGCACAGGACCTCAGGGCTGCATCCTGCCGTGTGGGGAGTCAGCGCTATGTAGCTTCTGCAGCGACTGCAAAGAGGGACAAAGGGAAGTGGGCCTAGGGGTCAGCTCAGACTCGGAGCAGGGCAAGGACAGGACGGCTGGGTCCTGGACCCACTGCTCCGGGCTCATAACCATGAGATTTTGAAAGCGTATTTGGTCATCGGAGCAGGTACCATATCTGGCCCCAGCCCTCCTGGTGTGCCCTGAGGCGGCCCAGCAAGCGCCTCCCAGCCAGGCTCATTTGCAGAAGCAAGAGCACAGGCCAGGGGGACCAGGAGAGCCTCAGCCCCCAGTCCTAGCCGCCGGTGACCCTAAGCTGTGGGGAACCAGGAACCCAAGAACCTTCTCTAGGTTGTCAAGGCTGAGTTGACCCTAGCAATATGCAGGAATGCAGGAAGCAAAAGAAACTTGATTCCAGCCCCATGCTAGGGTCACAGCAGAGGCTGAGGGTCTGCTATCCTTTAAGCAGGGGCTGGGGGCATGGTCCGTGAATGAGAACAGCAGGTCACAGTGGTGGCTTTGGGAAGGGCCCCTCCCACTTTGCCCTGTTCTGAAAGGGGCTCCCTCAGAGCCCATGGGCCCGGTAACCCACTTCTCTTTCCTGCTTCCTGCTCAGTAACTTGCCAGGTTTACCAAATACAAGAAGACATCCGCTTTGAATAGGAGGTAAATCCCAAAAGAAAACATCTGAAGTGGCTGAGCACAGGCCTCCCACCGAGACCATCTGGTGGCCCCTGAGAATTGGGAAGGCAGGTCCTGAGTGTCCCCCAACTGCTAGGGCAGCAGGTGGCCCAGGGCACCCTCTCTCTTGCCAGCTTCTGCAACCAGCCTGGTGTCCACAGAGCAGTAGAGCCGGAGGAGCTCAGGGAGACCCGGCCGTGGAGGGCACAGTGCCTGGCGTCCCAGCGTGTGCCTGTCCTCAGCCACTTGTGTCTTTCCTACCGTGTAGACGTTCTCCCAGTGACACCTGGCCTCCATGGAGGATGGGACCTGTCACTCATGCCTTTGAGGGACCCAGATAGAGCATCCCTCTTTGGCTCTTTCTACATTCCTAAAAACCTCAAAGTCAGTCCCTCACCAATCGGGCCTCAGGCCCTCATGGTTCTGCAGCACCCCATCCTGTCCCTCTGGCTTCACATTAGAGGCCGCCGTGTGCTCTGAGTGAAATGAGATGCTGCTGTCGGGTTCCCATGCAGAGACCTTCGAGGCAGCACTGGGAGACACTGCGGGGGGACCATGACTGGGCAGGCAGAGGCTTGTGCACCTCACACTCACCCCTCAGTTTCCCTCCCAAGGTCTGGTTGTTCCTCTTTGGGATTTGCTGTTTATTTGTATTTCCTTTTTCTTTAAGAACCATGCCAAGTGAAAAAGGTGGAGATGAGTTTCTGAGTTGCAGAGTGTTCCCTGATCCTAGGTACCACGCTTTGGGCCTCTCAAGCAGGGAGGGGATGGATTTGGTGGAGTTGGGCCAGGGTGGGGTGGCCTCGTCCTACCCCCCTCCAGACTGCCAGGGCCCCAAGAAGTTTCAGTCCACCTGAACCTCGGCCCCCTGACTCCTGGGTCCGTTTCTGTACTGTTTGAGATCGCAGGCGTCCTTCGGCGAATGCTCTTATGTCCTCTACACGAAGTGGGCTCTCCCTGGAACACCCAAGGGCCCTGTGACTCTTAGAAAGCCCTGAGCAAGGTCCCCCTTGAGAGAGAGAGAAATTCCTTCTTCAGGCGGCTCAGCAAGTTCAGGAGGAAGAAAAAGCTTTTCTTTGACTTTGAAACCAGTGTTTTTATAGAGACAAAGAACAGACCTCAGTAGGAAAAATGGAAACGTAGTTTAACATGGGGATGCATCAGAGGAGAGGATTTTCCCCTTAGCTTTCAGAGCCGGCGGGAGCGCAGGGTCTGTTTGGCTTCAAAAGCTTCACATTCTGCTTTGTCCTTGAGTGACTTCACGCGGGATGACGAACTGTTGACCTCTGTAGGGAGGACACCCTAAGTCCATCCTGGGCTCCTCCTCTCCCCTCTCAGAGAGAGCCCCCCCCAAAAAAGGCTTTAGAATCACCAGCGTGCCGCCTCACGTGTCAGGGCGGAATCACGCGCTCCTTACGCTAGAATAAGTTACAAAACCAGATTGTGAGGCTCTTCACAAATGCAGAGCCCCGGAATGCTGGATGGAGGCCTTGTCGGCCCCCAGGGTGCGGCCTGGCTGCAGTGGGTCTGTGGTAAGGGGCGGCCACAGTGACGGCCTCACACTCCCGATGAAAACGTGTTTACCCACAGCCTTGCCTCGAGCCTCCTTGACAGTACCGCCACTTCGAAGCAATATTATTTAATAAGAATACTTTAAATAGTTCACATGTGCTGCTATGAAGACAGGAGTAATCTATAGACGGGACTCAGCTCTGGAGGTTCCCGGGTAATGTATTTCGGCTCTTGGAAGTAAGGGTAGAATTTAGAATATAACAAATGGTCTCTCGCCCGGTTCTGTCCCTTAGATTGTTTTCCTGCATCTTACAATTTCCTTTTCTTTTCCAAGTTCCTTTCTCCAGGCCTGTTTTTCAGTGCTCAGGACATGGTTTTCATCACCCACATACTCTCTGCTTTTCTTGTTGTTGGGTTTGGTGCAAGACATTTGCAATTCCTGTTGTCTTTTGATACAAAACGCTGCTACATTTGGTGACCAGAGGGAGGGCTTAGAATCTGTGCTTTGCCAAGGATCTCAGTGGGTACCGCAGCCCCCTGCAGGGTGGTGAGCTGGGCCTGTGCCGAGAGAGGGGGCCCTTTCCCACTGCGTGCAGCTTGAATTTTGTTGGAGTTAAATCTGTGGAAGGGATTGTCCTGTTGGAGCTGCTGCGTCCTTCCCTCTGTCCTCCCTGTCACCCAAACCCGAAGTCACAGCTGCTTGGAAGAATGGGATTTTGGGGATACAACCACACAGATTTTCCTCTGAACTGAAATTTTTTAAATAGACCCATTTCACTGACTTCATTTAGGGAAAATAGTTTCTCTTTTGGGTTTTCAGCCCACAGCCATGTAACCCTGCCTCTGCTGGGCTTTTCTGCCCTGTTCCAGCTCCTCTTTCTCAGGCAGAGGCTGCAGCCTTCAGCTCTGCTGCTGGATGGGACATTTCAGAGCCACCTCCCAGAAGGTGGGCAGGGTGGAGGGCCCAGGGCCAGGCCCGACATGCGCCATGACCAGAGGTGCTACCAGCGGTGTGAAGCTGGGCTGGGCTTTCCAGGAGGTGGCTGAGAAGGTTCTTTGGGCAAAACAGAATCAGAAGGCCATGAGAGAGATGGGTGGGGGGGGAGCGTGGTGAGGAGGATTCATCTCTGATGAACCTCGCCATGCCTGCCTGTCACATCCAAGCCTGTGCCAGCCCCTAGGAGGTCAGAGTCCTGCCCTGAGAAACAGCCCAGTCCCTGGAGAATGAATACCCAGGGGTCAGTGACTGGAGGCCCTCCCTCGAAGCCACCATTCCCAGGAGGCCTGAGCGTGACCCAGAAGCTCTGCCTGGCACCAAGACTGGCGTTTTCCTTGTATTTTTGTACGGGACTGAAGTGGGCATTCTTCCTTTGACTGAGTGAGCGTTGGGACTTTTTTGGTTTCCTTTACTCATTCTAATGGCTGGTTTCGGCTGCTCAGAGTATCAGAGAATATTACTAAGAAGGCAGTCACTCTATTTTTAGGCATCTTTCCTTCTGTCCAGGGAGAAACCCCTCGGAAGGATCTTAGTCTTTGCACCTGCCTGTCATTCTTACCACAGGGAAGATGCGTTGAAAAGAAAAATACTAAGACCAGGGAGAAGCTGCAAACGCATTTCTTTGCTTCGGTTAAGCAGCTGAACACTGGCTATAAATGACCCCCCACCCCACCCCGCTCCAGGCCCCAGTGACCCAGTTGCGTCTTCAGGTTCCATCCGCCAGATTTCAGTCAATCAGAGGCTGCCAAGGGTGACTGAAGAGGTCTCCATGTCACTCTGTCACTTTTTTTTTTTTTTTTTTTTTTGAGACGGTGTTTCACTCTGTCACCCTGTCACCCAGGCAGGAATGCAGTGGCTCAATCTCAGCTCAACGCAACCTCCGCCTCCCAGGTTCAGCGGTTCTCCTATTTCAGCCTCCCTAATAGCTGGGCTGACGGGCGCCTGCCACCACACCTGGCTAATTTTTGTATTTCTAGTAGAGATGGGAGTTTCACCATGTTGGCCAGGCTGGTCTTGAACTGCTGACCTTAGGTGATCCCCCCACCTCAGCTTCCCAAAGTGCTAGGATTACAGGCATGAGCCACTGTGCCCACCCTCTATCACTTTTTTTGCTCCTTACCCAGTTTTTTTTTTTTTTTTCCTTGAGGGTCAGGCTAGAATTAGAAGACTCCTAGTTGGTTATTCTTTATCTCGGATTCTTTCTTCTGGAATCATTTGCTCAGTTGAGTCATTGGTGGTTTACCCCGTGTCAGACACAGTGAAACGTGTGCAGGAGGCCAGGGCCAAGAGGAAGCAAAACGGCTTCAATCCGGCATGACAGCCAAGAAGTGTTTTCTCCCCTCCGGCTATAAGACCTGCCCCTCTGACTCCAGAGTCAAAAGCAGCTTCTAGAACTGTCCTGTTTCCAAATGTGTTGGCTGAGCTGAAGCAAGATCTGTGACTCTGAATTAGATGATTTTTCCTGCATGAGGTTCACAGGCCTGTATGGATGTTAAATTGTGTCTGTGGTCTCTCAGTTTCTAGGTTAACTGGTCCAGATTTTTTTTTTTTTTATCAGTAACAATGGGGATTTAAAATAATATAGTTGGCCAGGTGAGGTGGCTCACACCTGTAATCCCAGCACTTTGGGAGGCCGAGGCGGGAGGATCACCTGAGGAATTTGAGACCAGCCTGACCAACATGGTGAAACCCGTCTCTACTAAAAATACAAAAAATTAGCCAGGTGTGGTGGTGGCGGGCACCTGTAATCCTAGCTACTAGGGAGGCTGAGGCATGAGAATCACTGGAACCCAGGAGATGGAGGTTGCAGTGAGCTGAGATCATGCCACCGCACTCCAGCCTGGGCAACAGAGGAAGACTCTGTCTCAAAAATAAAAATAAAATGTTTTAAGTCTGGCCCTTCTCTCCTTTCTTTCAAGAAAGGCTTTTTGGATACCTAGAATACCTTCACCTATGTGGCTTGATTTCTGTTTCAGGAGAAGGGGGGCGGGGCAGGAGGAGAGACAACAGCTGTGCTCCAGATTCTGTCCTGAGATGTCACTGAGTCCAGACACTCGGGCTGTGAGCACCCTGCAGGCGACAAAGACTGGCACCTCAGCACCCGTGCCGGAGGGGTTAAAGCCAATCCTGAGCTTTTGTTTTTGTTTTTGTTTTTAATCTGAATGATAATTCACCTGTAAAAATAATTTGGGAGGGGCGGGTATTCGGGGGTGTGTGTGTGTATTTGCGTGTGTGTGTGTGTGTGAGTGTGTTTGGTTTTTTTTTACAGTGGCTGCCTGTCTAAAGTATTTTTCACAACTTGTTTAATAATCAGTGCTTTAAAAAGCAGCAGTATCCTAGAAAGAGGAAATGTCAGTTCTAGAGCACTGGATATGAGTTTCCGCTCATGTCACCTTGTGCGTCCCGCCCTGGAGGAGTGGAGGTGGGTGGCCAGGGAGGGTGGCTGAACCCCAGCACCGGGAGGGGGCACGCATGAGACCAGAGGAAGGGACAGCCCCACCCATGTCAACAGCAGGCGGCTTGTGTTTTCATTTCAAATGGGATACAGTATTTTTTTAATAAGGAGCCATACTTTTTTTTTTAAAGTTTGAGATCTGAATGTGATTTCTAATTGTATCAGACGTTAATGTTTTAAAGCTATAACAAAGTTTAAAATTTCTACCTTTTGTTTTTCATTTATTTTAACTGTTCTTTTATCTATTAAATTGTTGTATGTGGATGGGGAAGTTTTGTTTCTCCTCTTAGCATTTGTTTCTATAACCAGAAATAAAATTCTATATTAAAGAAATGACCCTGAGGCTCCGGTGTGGTCCTTGTGGACAGGATGGCTGCTGAGGGTGGCGAATGGCCTGGACACAGAGGCACCTGGCCCCTGGACACAGAGGCACCCAGTCCCCTAGACACACAGGCTCCTGACCCCCTGGACACACAGGCACCTGAACCCCTGGACAGACAGGCACCCAGCCCCCTGGACACACAGGCACCCGGCCCCCTGGACACACAGGC